GGGCTCGTTGAAGCGAGTTTTCTGTCGGATGGGCGAGGGTCGTTGTATTTGTAGGCCTATGTTAAACGTGGATTTTCATTTGGCGATGTTGAATAGGTTATTAGCTTTATACGTATTTAGAAACTGAATCGTATTTTTTTATTATTATCATTATCATCCTTATTATTATTTTTTAAAGAAAGAAAGGTTTTAAAAATACAAACAAATACACCCAAAAACACATTCAAACAACACATACACTCATACACTCTCACGCATACACACATATACACACATACATACAAACACTCTCCCACCAAAAAAAAAAAAGTATATATATGATAGATAAAAGATAAAACACCCAAGCATATAAACGTTTCCATAGGAAAAGACCAAAGAACAGGGTGATAGGACGAAAGAAGACAACAGTGCGTCCAAAGACACATAGCTAATGTAAGAATACGTGGAAAACGAAGACAACTTACCCCTTAAAGCCGAGGATGGTCAGAAAATTGTTTTGTACTCACCAGGTGCCTCCAGGTAATGGCCGCTTAATATGGGATATTTATTCACAGCTTGGCAGTTTGTGGGCAATTTATTTGTGTTGTTTTAAGCTTATGTCTCTTTTTCTCAGGTGAATACAGGTGTACACGCGGACATGGATGCAAACACACACACACGCACACACAAATCACAACACACACACAGAAAACACACACACAAACACACAGACACACACACACACACACACACACACACACACACACAAAACGCACAAGCCTATAAGTGTACCCAAACAGGTGAAAATAATAAAGATAACAATAATAATAATAATGATAAGGATAAAAATGAGGATAATGATAATACTAAAGACAGGGTTCTCCCAGGATGAAAGGAGGTGGCAGTGCGTTCAGAATAATGACAGCAGTGTGAGAATACGACAGCTATAAATGGGGTCCACTTGCCCCTTTGGTCAGAAAATTACTTTGTACTCAGTGGGCGCCCTCAAGTGCTGTGTACTCGCGGGAATGGTGGTTATGCGTTGGGTGGCAACTTGTGGGTAATTTAGTTGCTCATTTCAAGCATAGCTCTTTTTGTTAGATGGATACATGTTGTACACATATGGACACACACACACACACAGAGTCGATGTTCACTCGTGTGCTCGTATATACATACAATTTAGATATAGAAACATACACACATATATATGTATATGTGTATATATGTGTGTATGTATGTATATATGTATACACACACACACACGCACACACATATATACATATAGATAGATAGATTGATAGATACAAATATATATAAATGTGTGTACATATACACATATGCACATGCATATCATTAGTAACATCAAAGGTTTTGTATCACATTTCATTGCCAATGAACGACATCGGAATGGTCAAACTTGGCCACAAAAGAAGTAATTGTAAATGGAACAAGAGCGGCCTCAAGCATGGACAGCGGGAGACCTGGGCTTTCATGGCTATGTACTTTTTGCATGTACTTTATTTACTTTAAGTTGCATGAACAATATATTTCTTTTAAAAGATGTGTATCATCATATTAATTCTCCTCATCATCATTATCATCTTTATCTTCGTTTTCATCCTCATTCTCATCATTATTATCCTCCTCCTCATCATCATCATAATTATAATTATCTTGATTTTTGTTACGGTTATTGCTTATATTGGTATTGTTATCAATACATGCATATATATACATATATTCATATTTATACACATACATATATATATATATATATATATATATATATATATATATATATATATATATATATATATGTATATCATATATGGATATTGTACAGACTTATTTAAGTATATTGTATGCAGGTATATGCAAGCATATACCTGCATACAATATACTTAAATAAGTCTGTACAAATGCAAGTATATGTCCGTGTATGAGCCTTGTACATATCTAAATGCCCTCTTTATCAACGCATCAACATAATGTACATATTCTATCCAATGCATTAACAAATCTCCTTGGTATGCTGCTGTAAATTAGCTTTGTATGAAGCAACACAAGCAATGTCTGTGACGATCTTCCGCGGACACTTTCAGACAGTTTACGTCAACAACTAACTTTCTTTCGTCTGTCTTTGGTTTTGACCTTTTATAAAACTTTTGTTTATCTCTTGAGTCCTTCTTTATCTCGTTTTATTTTCTCTTCTTATCTTTATTTTCTCTTTTCGTGTATTTCATTCTCTTTACATTCGGTGCTATATTATTTTTTTTTCACTGGATTTTATTTCTTAGCTATGTAAATCTAAAAAAAAAAAAAAAAAAAAATGTCTCGTCTCATTTCCATCTTATCTTTCATCTTACGTCTCCGGGACTGATGACTCGACTCCTCAATCGACGCCTTCCTTTCCTTGCAACAAATCGACATTTACACTCGACTAACAGACATTCAGATCGAATAGGCTCTTGACTCTTGACCCTTGTAACCTGACCTGACCTGACCCCGCCCAACTCAGGATGCTCAGTGAGTGGAGCGACGACTGGTACAAGTGGGTGCCGGTGCTCGACAACCTGATGGGGGCAATGGACAAGTACCAAGGATTGTACCACTCTGCCTCAGACGTCAGCCAGGAGTGATCGACACGCCCCTCGACATGACCTCGACCTCGACCTTGAAGGAAGACTTCCTGATGATGCTTTGTGAACCAGAACCAGTTTCTTAAATATGAATGATGTGATTTATTAGAGAAGAAAAAAAATATTGTAGTCAGACATACACAACTGACAAACATAAGCATGCATATATATATATATATATATATATATATATATATATATATATATATATATATATATATATATATATATATATATATATCACAAACACACACACACAAACCCATATACATATATATAAACTCAAAGAGATACACATGGAAGCCTGAATAATACTCACTTTTTTCAAACGCACCTTTTTAGTATATTTTCACTAGGAAGGCAGTAAGGTTTGAGAAAGCTTTAGACTTAGGAAACCGCTCACTGACAGAAACCCTCGTCAATACTAACCAATCACAGCAAAAAAAAAAAAAAAAAAAAAAAAAAAAAAAAAAAAAAAAAAAAAAAAATCCCATAACTAAAAATTAACCTCCCCACCTAAAAAAAAATAATGATGATTCATGACCAATGCCAAAATAAACAAAAATACTCGTTCAACCAATAACATCAAATATCCATATGAATTAACCAGCTTTTTGTAAAATAATCCAAAGAAAAATATCTAGATATGTATAAAGAAATATAAACATGTACAGGCATTAGAGGTAGTGACATAACACTAACATAGTATAAAAAAACACTAATTTATGCTTCCGTTTTATTTCTAGCGATGGACAACGGTCGCCTAACACCTTTATTCTTACTTTTAAGACCAACTGTAATATACTAATCCAGCCACTTTGTAGATAATATGAAATTGATATAAAATGATATCTAAAATCTGTTATGTATTATATTGTAAATTTGTTAATTATGTATGTTGCATAAATAAATAAATAAATAAATATATATGTATACATACATACATACATATATACTATATATATATATATATATATATATATATATATATATATATATATATATGTATATATATATATATATATGTATATATATATATATATATATATATATATATATATATATATATATATATATATATATATATATATATATATATATATATATATATATTATATATATATATATATATATATATATATATATATATATATATATATATATATATATATATATATATATATATATATATATATATATATATATATATATATATATATATATATATATATATATATATATATATAATATATATATATATATATATATATATATATATATATATATATATATATATATATATATATATATATACATATATATATATATATATATATGATATATATATATATATATATATATATATATATATATATATATATATATATATATATATATACATATATATATACATACACATATATATATGCATATACACATATATACATGTATAAACATTAATGAGTCTTCCAGTGCCTTCAGAAGTGAATGTGTTGTGACTCGCTAACCGAATGTGCAACGCTTCTGCAATGTTCCCCAAGTACCCCAAATACTCATTAGATTTAGCGCTTGTGCCAAAGATGCACCTTATTGCTGTGTTGCCGTTAGTTTGATTAGTAGTTTTGTCGCTTTTATATTAACCCTAATTTATTATTTTACCTTTAAGGCTATTCAACATGTACATTTTTTTTGTTTCTGATTTGTTGATTTGTTGTTGTTGTTGTTGTTATATGATGAAAAAAGATTGCAATGTTGCCAGGTGTTTTTATTTTCCCTTTTTCATACCCTCATGGAATAAAAGATAAATTCATAAGATGGAAATTATGAAAATGAAAAATAAAGTCTTGCTGAGAGAAATATGATTAGTATACTGTCTATACATACAGTATACCTGTATTTTCAACCTATATCTACCGATCAATGTTTATTTATTAATCCATCTATCTATCTGTTTGTTTATTCCTCTGTCTTTTTGTTTATCTATCTGTCTATCTGCCTATCTATCAATAAATCAATCTATCTGACTATCTATCTATTAATCAGTCAATCTTTCTGACTATTTATCTATCAATTGATCGATTAAAATGCCTATCTATCTATCACTCAATCTCTCTATTTATCTATCAATCAATCAATTAAAATACCTATCTATCTATCAATCAATCTCTCTCTCTATCTATCAATCAACTTCTCTGACTATCTATTAATCAACCAATTTTTCTGACTATCTATCTATCTATCAATCAGTCAATCTGCCTGACTATCTATCTATCAGCCAGTCAACCTCTCTATCTATCTATCTATCTATCAATCAATTTCTCTATCAATATATCAATCAATCTGCCTGACTATCTATCTATGAGCCAATATATCCATTTATCTATCTATCAATCAATTTCTCTATCTATCTTTCAATCAGTTTCTCTATCTATCTATCAATCGATCTCTCTATCAATCAATCAATCAACCTGCCTGACTATCCATCTATCGCTTAATCAGTCTATCCATCTACCTATCTGTCAATCGATTTCTCTGACTATCCATCTATCGCTCAATCTATCTATCCATCTACCTATCTATCAATCGATTTCTCTGACTATCCATCTATCGCTCAATCTATCTATCCATCTACCTATCTATCAATCGATTTCTCTGACTACCTATCTATCAATCAACCTGCCTGACTATCCATCTATCGCCCAATCAATCTATCCATCTACCTATCTATCAATCGATTTCTCTGACTATCCATCTATCTATCTATCAGTCGATTTCTCTGACTATCCATCTATCTATCTATCAATCGATTTCTCTGACTATCATCTATCGCCCAATCAATCTATCCATCTACCTATCTATCAATCAATTTCTCTGACTATTTATCTATCAATCACCCTGCCTGAGTATCCATCTATCACTCAATCTATCTATCCATCACCTATCAATCAATTTCTCTATCTACCTTTCAATCAGTTTCTCTATCAATCAGTCAATCTGCCTGACTATCTATCTATGAGCCAATCTATCTATCCATCTATCTATCTGTCAATCAATTTCTCTGACTATCTATCAATCAATCAATCAATCTGCCTGACTATCCATCTATCGCTCAATCTATCTATCCATCTACCTATCTATCAATCGATTTCTCTGATTATCTATCTATCAATCAATCTCTCTGACTATCTATCAGTCAACCAATTTCTTTATCTATCAATCAATCTGCCTGACTATCTATCAGCCAATCTATTTATGCATCTATCTATATATCTATCAATCAATTTCTCTATCTATCTTTCAATCAGTTTCTCTATCTATCTATCAGTCAGTTTCTGTATCTATCAATCATTTAATCTGCCTGACTATCCATCTATCGCTCAATCAATCTATCCATCTACCTATCTATCAATCAGTTTCTCTATCAATTAATCAATAAATCTGCCTGACTATCCATCTATCGCTCAATCAATCTATCCATTTATCTATCTATCATCAATTTCTCTACCTATCAATCAATCAATCTGCCTGACTATCCATCTATCGCTCAATCTATCTATCCATCTACCTATCTATCAATCGATTTCTCTGATTATCTATCTATCAATCAATCTCTCTGACTATCTATCAGTCAACCAATTTCTCTATCTATCAATCAATCAATCTGCCTGACTATCTATCAGCCAATCTATTTATCCATCTATCTATCTATTTATCAATCAATTTCTCTATCTATCATTCAGTTTCTCTATCTATCTATCAATCAGTTTCTCTATCTATCAATCAATCAATCTGCCTGACTATCCATCTATCGCTCAATCAATCTATCCATCTACCTATCTATCAATCAGTTTCTCTATCAATTAATCAATAAATCTGCCTGACTATCCATCTATCGCTCAATCAATCTATCCATTTATCTATCTATCATCAATTTCTCTACCTATCAATCAATCAATCTGCCTGACTATCCATCTATCGCTCAATCTATCTATCCATCTACCTATCTATCAATCGATTTCTCTGATTATCTATCTATCAATCAATCTCTCTGACTATCTATCAGTCAACCAATTTCTCTATCTATCAATCAATCAATCTGCCTGACTATCTATCAGCCAATCTATTTATCCATCTATCTATCTATTTATCAATCAATTTCTCTATCTATCATTCAGTTTCTCTATCTATCTATCAATCAGTTTCTCTATCTATCAATCAATCAATCTGCCTGACTATCCATCTATCGCTCAATCAATCTATCCATCTACCTATCTATCAATCAATTTCTCTCTCTTTCAATCAGTTTCTCTATCTATCAATCATTTAATCTGCCTGACTATCCATCTATCGCTCAATCAATCTATCCATCTACCTATCTATCAATCAGTTTCTCTATCAATTAATAAATAAATCTGCCTGACTACCCATCTATCGCTCAATCAATCTATCCATATATCTATCTATCAATCGATTTCTCTGATTATCTATCTATCAATCAATCTCTCTGACTATCTATCAGTCAACCAATTTCTCTATCTATCAATCAATCAATCTGCCTGACTATCCATCTATCGCTCAATCAGTCTATCCATCTACCCGTCCATCCCTCTAACACGAGAAATCCGAGGGACCGCAGCCGACCCGCACCGGAGCAACACGGCACGGTCGGTGTGGAAAGGCGGTCAGCTGTTAGTTACCCTGCCTCGGTGGAAGCAGTTTCTCTTCTGTTCTCGTTTTCTCCATTTTTCTTCTTCTCGCTTCTTCTCTTCTCTTCTCTTCGCTGTCTTTTTCTCTTTCTATTTATTTATTTTTTATTTTTTTTTGTTCTATCTTGTATGTTTTTTGATTTATAGGTTTGAATGAAAATGAGGATGAAATTAAGAATAATGATTAAAAGGTATTTCTTTTCTTAAGCTCGTAAAGTATTATCATTTTCCAAAAAAAAAAAAAAAAAGAACGAATAAGTGTTAATAAATAAATTGAACGAAGACAAGTCGAATACCAAATTGATTAGAAAAATAACATGTTTGTTTTACCTGCCACAATAAGAGAAGATTGGTTAAAAACAAGAATAATCGCATAATAAAACTACAACTAGAAACAAAATGATTTACAATAAAAGCGAAAATATAATTGCTTGTCCAAACTACCATAATTTCACCCTTAATGATCACGAAGAAAT